CAATTTGCATTGTGTGGATTATTTGTTTTTTTGTTTTTCATGTACACTGTGTTGGTTGATAAATGTTTTTGTTTTGATTCAATAATATTTGTATTTTCAATGTGTTTTTTTGTACCTCATGGGATGCCATAGGAAAGATAGGCTGGCCTTATAAAAGCTGGTGGTAATTAGTTCTGATGAATGGCTGGAAAGCAACTGACAGCAGGACTTGAAATGTTTGCTGTTAGAGAAACAAAGATCTTATGCTTTGCATCCCCCTGGTGAAAGCAGTGAAGTACATTTTGTTTATTTCGTTTGTTTATTAGCCCATGTTCTTATTTTAATGTTTGTATAAATGTTTGTTTTAGTTTTCACGGTGATCGTAATGGTGATTATGATCTTGGAGACCTTGGTGATCTTGGTGAAAAAGTGATTTGGTGATCAAGGAGCACCAGATGAAAATAAAAAGGCGTAAAATCACCCGTCAAGGCAGTGCTGAACTTTGTCAAGAACTGGGGGGACTGCTACAAGCACCTTGTGAATATATTTCTGTGAAAGGCGCTTTATAAATAAAACTTTACTTACTTACTTACTGTATAAACATTAATTTTAGTCGTAACTCAATACAAGAAGGTGCTAGCTGCTAGGGTTGGGCATAATCGTATCGTGTGTGATTAATCGTCAGAAAAACATTAATCGGTTAATTTTTGGCACTTGACAATACGATTAATGCCAACAGGTAGAATCCGCTCGCTGCTCCTCTCAGCTTCAAATATGACGAACATTAAAAAAACTTCTGTAACTTATTTATCTATCAATACAATTTAAAATTTGATGTATAGCCTGAAGTCTGTAATTTTGACACAATGTGGAACAGATTTTTATGAAGAGCAAATCTTTCCCACTAAATTGGTCATGTGACTATGAAATAAGGGTGTCCAGGGACTCCAGAGGATTAATCATCAAATAAATCGTTATCGGCTAAATACCAGAATTAATCGTGATTTATTTTTTGCCAATATTGCCCAACCCTACTAACTGCACATAATTTGAATGCTGTATGGTGTGATATGTAACAATTCAGCTCAGTCAAGCAGCCCTAATGAGCCTGTAAAAAGATTGCTAAAAAGGAATATGAATTAATATTAGTCATAACTTGAGACAGGAAGGTGCTTGCCGCAGGAAATTTGAAGTCAACTAGATAACGCATAGCGGTAACATAATGACCCCCGCACACACAAATGCACCAGAACTCAGAAGTCTTTATTCCTAATAAATGTCATGCTACTAGATGCATTCCAAAATTGTAGTGGTTTGGGTGGGGGTCCTTTTTTTGGGGTGGGTGGGGGCGGGGTTGACCTGGATAGCCCCTCATCAGAGCTAAACAACAAAAGAAATCTGAAGCTTCTATGTTGAACAGTTTCTGAGTTTTAAGCATTTTTGCATGTCCAGACTCCCCGTTTTTGAAAGGAGCCCCCTCCTCAAATATGGGGTCTATCGTAAAACCGTTGGCTGGAGCAGTGTAGGTCTGACTCATCTACAGTCCTACCAAATTTCATGTTGACCATGCAGCTTTTGTGCTACGGTTGACCAAAAATCTCTGAAGAAAATAAATAAATAAATAAAATAAAATAAACAGTACGAAAACAATATGACTCCCTCTTAAGTTTCGTGTGCGGGGGTCATAATAAATTATGTTTACATGTTCACAAAAATTTTTATTTAAGACATTTTTTTGTAAAAAACTCTGTTAACCATCAAACCATATTTACATGTTCACAATGATTTTACTATTACCATTACTTCCTCACAAGAGACAAAATCATGGTTTTACCAAGCTCTGCCACAAATACCATCTATTATCCAAGTTTCGCCAATCACATTTAGGCCAAACTCCACCTTCAAAACAAACTCCCTTTTTATACTGCAGACATCCCTACTTGCTTTATCAAGTCGAAGGACTCTAATAATTCACACTACAGCCATTCACCCATTCATACAAACATTCACACACTGATGGTGGCTGACTTTAAAACACATAGAGCTAAAATTTGGTGTAGTATTAGCTAAGAGTTAATCACAACAAACACCTTCTCCAAACACCACTAAATGTGTGACATCTGTGAATAAAGTTTGGCACTATTCATTGAAGTAATACCTGTTTATCTAATGAACTGCTTGAGAGATTTCATGAAATTCTTTAGAAAAGATGTCTCTGAATTTACATTTACGCCTGAATAACTTTTGGAGTACATTCAATTCAAGATGGCTGCCAAAGCTAATCAAGATTAGCAAACAAATGGTTGTAACTCAGTCAGCTATGCAGATGTTGATCTAAAATTTGATGTGGTAGTAGCTGAGTTATTCTCAACACGTTAAACGTTTTGCATGGCATTGCTCTCAAGTTTGACTAAAATGTAACTCAGTCATTACTCAGCAGAAGATGTTTTTGTCTAAAACCTTGACATGAAAGGTGACTGGCAGTGTGCACTCCAAGTTCTCTTTCTTTAAAGGGATTCCTGATTAGTTGTAACATTAGACTTTATTTGAAAAACACATATTTTAACTGTAAAATAAAGACTGTAAAAATACTGTAGGATGTTTAGTTTTTATAAGTTTTAAACTAAGAGTTTAAAAATATATTACACAGNCATATAAACTTCATTTCACTTCTCAAATATCACTGTTTGTCCCCTATATGATATATTTAACTGATATTTTTAATCCAATCAATGATTTATAAAGAAAAATCCAGAAAATTAACAAGGCTGCCCAAACTTTTTCATATGACAGTACAAGTTTATTGTCCCCAGTCTTGTCTTCTGCATTGTCAAGCCTGTGGAAAGGTTTCTATGAAAGCATATTTTATTTCAAATTAAAAAAAATCGTATCACTGTTAACTGAGCCCAAACTACAATAGATATGTTGAATACTAAAAAAAATATCTTGTGATGTTTGCAGTTGGAGATCCTGACTAATCTGGCTACTGAAGCCAACATCTCCACCATCCTGAGGGAATTTCAGGTTTAATTTCTTGCTTCTTTACTATTCCTGGTTTTGTTTTGAGTGCCTACTTTGGTGTTTTCTTTGCCTCACCGTCATTGGATCTTATTTCAGACCTATGTGAAGAGCCAGGACAAGGCATTTGCTGCTGCCACCATCCAGGCCATCGGCAGGTGTGCCACCAACATCTCAGAGGTGACAGACACCTGTCTGAATGGCCTGGTCTTGCTGCTTTCCAACAGAGATGGTAATATACATTAAAGGAGTGCAGGAAATGCAGTTCCACCTTCTTTTCTGCTGTTGTGTGTTGATGCTGTTGGATTGTCTGATTGTCTAATTTGTATCTACAGAGACGGTCGTTGCTGAAAGTGTGGTGGTCATCAAGAAGCTGCTGCAGATGCAACCAGAGAAGCACAGTGACATCATCAAACACATGGCCAAGCTCTTCGACAACATCACGGTATGTGTCATTACTTTTGTACTTTTAGAAAGTTCAGTTTTAATGTTGAGTGTCATAGCTGGAATTATTTGTCTTGGTTTTAACCTGAAATTTCAGGTTCCCATGGCTCGGGCCAGCATCCTTTGGCTAATTGGAGAGTACTGTGAGAGGGTGCCAAAGATTGCACCAGATTTACTCCGTAAAATGGCCAAAACCTTCACAGCTGAGGAGGATATCGTCAAGCTTCAGACAGTCAACTTAGCAGCCAAACTGTATCTGACCAACTCTAAACAGGTACAGAAATTTTTTGCTTTGTTACCTTTAATATAAAAGAAATAAAAAATATACTGCCTGTAATCGTTTCTGTGTTTTTGACACATTTGAGTAAATTAACAGTTCTGCAATCCAAATCTAAATGCAGAATTTAAATGTAGAGGTGTACATGAGACATCTTTAGTGTAATGGTGCATTTCTTAGTGTTCATAGACCCATAACTAAGTTTATGGGCCCAGGTGCTGCTCACTCAGATGAGCACACTATTGCACTTCTTGCTCCTCATAATGTGTTGGGTCATGCAGGAACGTGAAAGACACAATTTTGGGACACGAAAGACTTAAATTAGCCAGTCAAGCTGTTTTTTTTATGTTTGCTTTATACTGATCTTTTTATTACAGTAGGTGGATATTTTACGATGCAAATATACATCTGAAAAATGTGACAAATTGTGTTCAGCCCCCTTGAGTCACTGTTTAGTAGAACTACCTTTCACTGCAGTTTCAGCTGCAAGTTATCTGTAGTTTGTCTCTACCAGCTTCGTACATTTAGAGACTTAAATATCTGTTTATTTTTTGTTGCAAAACAACTTCAGCTCAGTCTGATTGGATGGAGAATGTCTGGGATCGGAGGTTTTCAAGTCACAGATTTTTGGGTGGATTCAGATGTGGACTTGAGTGGACCATTCTAACAAAGAATATGCTTTAATCTAAACCATGCGTATCAAACTCATCTTCACTGAAGGCCACATCAGCAGTGTGGTTGCCCTCAAAGAACCAGTGGCAATAACCATTGATGATTTAGTGCTTAACATAGACTTAAATAAGACTGAGTCCTGCCCATCCTGTCCACTGGTAGTGTCTGTGACATCATGGAGGAGCAGAAACAGACCAAACAGGACAACAGCTCACAGCAAACATAGAAACTAATAGATAAACAGCAGCTGAACTGGATCTGTTTCACACATTATCTGTCATGTTTTTAAAATAAATTAATAATTATGTTACATTTATAATATTATTTTACACTCTGTAGGTC